GGGTGCTCGGGAGTATTCGAGGTCGCTGATCACGATTATGATGTCTAAATTGACCCACAGCCGACCTGGAGCTCAGGAACGTCGACGAACATCATCTTCGTGGGACTCTCCCAAAATTCACGCAGGGAAGGAGGGCAACTAGGCGATCGGGGGTTTTATGGGTCGCTGAATCCAAATATGGCATCGGCGAATACCCCCCGGACACCTGGTGCGCCCAAACCTCGACCTGGACGTCATCTCCGAGAATTTTCCTCACAATATCGACAAGAACAACCCGAAAATGATTGAGCGGAGTTTTTTGGGGCGCTGAATCTAAATTTCACGTCGAAAACGACCCCCTGAACACCTGGTGCACCGGAACTTGGCCCTGAACGTCATCCCCGAGGGGTTTCCAGGGAGCAGGTCTTTCTTCCATCTTTACAGGCACTAGTGTGTCGCCTTCCTTTCTCCACCCCCATTTTGTTGGGTCCATGGTCAGCTGGTCTCCGTGCAGCCATTGTTGTACTTGAAAATAGACCCTCTTTAGATGTTGTTGAATGGCGTCTACTGTAGGGAGAATTTTGGCCAAATTTACTCTCCCCGTCACAGCGGCTCTCCTGTACATTTCGTACCTGTACGTTTGGAGTAACTTGTCCCATTTTGGCTTGTCAGGAATATTTGGTTTCCTGAATGACATTGGAGCACTGTACATTGCCAGGATTAGCTGCGCCCCATTCTCAAAAATTGTTTCGCTGGACAAACCAGAATGGATGAAATTTTCTAGGGCCCCAGGGGAGAGTTACACATGAATGTATAAAATTATGTTTTGGGGAGTTTTTTTGTTATCGCGACTGTAAAACCCACGGAGATTCTAATTCAGCGCCCCTTCACGATTTTCGGTTCGTCTTTTTCGATTGTGTCAGGAAAATTCTCGGAGATGACCTCCAGGTCCAGATTTGGACGCACCAGGTGTCCGTAGGGTGTTCGCCGATGCCATATTTGAATTCAGCGATCCAAAAACCCCCCTTTAACGATTTTCGGTTCGTCTTTTTCAATTGGGTCTGGAAAACCTCGGTGAAGAAGGTCAGGGCCAGGTTAGGGCGCACCAGGTCTTCGGGAGGTCATTTTCCACGTGAAATTCGGATTCAGCGCCCCAAAAAACCCCCCGGAACGATTTTCGGTTCGTCTTTTTCAATTGTGCCTGGAAACCCCTCGGGGATGACGTTTAGGGCCAAGTTCCGGTGCACCAGGTGTGTTCAGGGGGTCGTTTTCGACGTGAAATTTAGATTCAGCGCCCCAAAAAACTCCGCTCAATCATTTTTGGTTTGTTCTTGTCGATATTGTGAGGAAAATTCTCGGAGATGACGTCCAGGTCGAGGTTTGGGCGCACCAGGTGTCCGGGGGGTATTCGCCGATGCTATATTTGGATTCAGCGACCCAAAAAAACCCCGATCGCCTAGTTGCCCTCCTTCCCCGCGTGAATTTTGGGAGAGTCCCACGAAGATGACTTTCGTCAACGTTTTTGAGCTCCAGGTCGGCTGTGGGTCAATTTAGACATTATAGTCGTGATCAGCGACCTCGAAAACCCCCGAGCACCCGATCTGGGCTAGTTCTGACACTTATTTAACAAGTTTTGAAATCATCCAAGAGGCCTCTCAAATAATGCATTTTTTGAATGCATTTTTGGCTGCAGCAGTGCAATTTCCGGTTTGTATGAGCCGGAAATTACGGGGGAATGATACAAATAATTTTTGCAAGTGAATGCAAAAAACCGCATTCCTATCCGACTTGCACGGAAAAACCCAGGAACTTTGGCCTTTTTAGTGCTTTATTGCCTCGACTAGTTGGGAATGGGGTGTTAATAAACTGGGACCTAAGACCTAAAAGATCTATTGTGTCCCCTTCTGTCGCTAATGCAGCAAGAAAATGTATCAATGTCTCATTCCAATCCTATCTTCTCAAGGAAGTGCAAATACAATTTTCAGTCAAGAAGTACCAATTAACCTGCTCTACTCTAAGTGTCAAGTAAATTGTACATCTTGATATCACTCTAATTTGATATCAAAGTGACAACATATTTTATTTTAGAAAATTCGATAAAAATACCTAAAGTTTGTAGAAACGCCACTTTCTAAAAATGTAAAAAAAGCCTTTCCTATTTGTAGTCATATTATGTAAAAACCAAATATCTATCAAATTTATACTAAATTCAAATTAAAAATTTATTAGCATTTAAATAAAAATTTTTTGGGGATGAGCTAAATAAACTTCTTATTAAATGTAACATTTTATCAACAGTAAATAAAGTCGTCCCTCAGTGTAGATATTCAATATTGTCATGACCCAAAATGATTTTGTAATACAAAAATATGTGTTTTTTTAATGTCATAATAAGGTATATTCTGCGAATTAAAAAATTAATGGAATAATAGATCATTTTTTGCAATGGATAATTTTTATTAAAATCGATTCTTTTTTAACCAACTTTTAAAAAGCAGGATTTTGTCAATTTGTCAGAAATTTTTTTTATGTATGTATGTTCAACGATAATTCTTTACTACGTTGTCAAATTTCTATGATTCTTTTTTTGTTAGAAAAAAAAGTATCTCAGGGGTGATCCCATACTAATTTGGTCAAGATCTAATAATGGGATCCACAAGAAAATAATCAATCTCTTAATTTTTTATGTATTTTCAGCGATAATTCGTTACATTGTCCGATTTCTATGATTCTTATTTTGTTAGAAAGGTGATACCTCAGGGGTAGTTCGTCATACAATTGATTAGGATCTGATGATCTATGAGAAAATAAAAAATCTCAATTTTTAAGGGCATCTTCACGATTTTGAAGTCGGTTATTTAAAATCACTTTTATAATTGGTTACTATTAATCCTCTTTACAATAGATTCTTTTTTACTATTGATTCTATTTTACTATTGATTCTATTTACAATATTTTTTACTACAGATTCTTTTTAAAGTCAATTTTTTTATAATCCAGTTTTTTAGTATCGATTTTTTTAATATATTTTTTAAAAATTGATTTTTTTTTACGATCGGTATTTTTAAATTGGTTTTTCACAATCGATACTTTTACAATCACCTTTTTTCATCGATTCTATTTTACTATTAATATTTTAACAGTCGATTCTTTTTATAACGGATTTTTCACTATCGATATTTTTACAATAGTTATTTTCTGCTAGATTCTTTTTACAGTCGATTTTTATTATTATGTATTATTTTTTACAATGGATGAATACTTTTATAATGAATACTTACTTTTCAAAATCGATCTTTTTAAATTGGATTTTTAACAATCGATTCTGTTATTGTTGCTTTTTAGCTTCGATTCTTTTTTACTATTCATATTTTAACAAATGATTCTTTTATAACGCCCACTTTTTACAATCGATTCTATTTACCATCCATTTTTTATAATCAAATAGATAAAATAGATGACAGCTTATGCGGAAAGTAGATTTTTAAGCACACGCCTATGATATAGGATACTTTCCAAGGACTACACAGTGCGATATGGAAGAGGGCTAGAAGTACCCTGAATCGATTCTTTTTTTACTTTGAATAATCTACATCTTCTTTTTATAGATTTTTTTTACAATCTTATATTTTTTTAGAATCGATTTTTTTTCTACAATGGATGTTTTTTTACAATCGACTAATTCTTTTTACAGTCAATTCTTTAGATAATGGATTTTTAAGTATCGATTCTTTTTACAACCTACTGTTACAATCGCATCTGTTTTACAATCGACTTTTTACTGTTACTACTTCCACAATAAATTCATTGTATAATGGATTTTTCACCATCGATACTTTTTACTATCACATCTTATTTACTATTAACAATCCGTTTTTTCCAATGGAATTTTCATAATCAATTTTTAAAATAACTATTTTTTACAATCGATTCTTTTTCCAATCGATTTAATTTACCATCCATTTTTTTTACAATCAAATAGTAGAAATAGAAATGACAGCTTATGTTAAAAGTAGAATCTTATCCACAAGAGTGTAATATAGGGTACTTTTCAAAGGAATAAACAGTGCGATATGGAATAAGGCTACAGATTAAGTAACCTGTGTATCTTTTTAAGTTACTATTTGACGAAATGAAGCATGCAAGGTCCCGGCTTCTCAGCCTATCGGCCGAACTATCGCACGTCACCCAGAGTTCCGATATAAGTGACAAATCAGTGCACCGCAAGACCAACACTGAATTTTAACTGTGGCCCGCAGAAATGGATCAATTATTTTTTTACAATGTATATATTTTTTACAATGGATTCTTCCTTACTATTATAATACTCTTTACAATCGATTCTGTGTATAATCGATCCTTTTTATAATCGATTCTTATTACAATCAAATTTTTACTAGATTATTTTTCAGTCGATACTTTTTATAATGGAGTTTTTTTACAATATTTTTTAACTATGGATTCTTTTTTACAATTATTGCACTTTTTCAATCGACTTTTTTACTAGGAATACTTCCCCAATCGATCTTTTTACCATGAATCTTTTCACATAGATATTTTTAAAATCACCTTTTTTACATTCGTTTCTTTTTACTATTAATACTTTTTACAATTGATATTTTTACAATAGCTATTTTGACTTACATATTCTTTTTACAGTAATTCTTGTTATAATCGAGTTTTTTACAATACATTTTCTCAATCGATTTTCCTGCTACCGATTACTTTTTTACAATAGATCATGATTTACAATCTTATATTTTCTATAATCGTATCTTTTGATATTTTTACTTTTAATACTTACACAATCGATTTTTTTAAATTGAATTTTTCAAAATCGATACTTCTTTTACAATCGGATTTTTTATAATCGATTTGTTAACTATTAATATTTTAACAATCGATTATTTTTTTATTAATATTTTGACAATCGATTCTTTATATAATGTATTTTTCACAATCGATTTAATTCGGTTCAAAGGCCCATGAACTTATGAAACAATGTCGATGATATTACTTACTTTGCTTTATAGCTCCTTGTGTGGCCAAGAAAAATGAAAGCTCACTGGAATCGACCATATGGTGAGCACCATCTTGCAATCTGAATCTGAGACCGGACAGTTTTTGACCTGCCAATAGCCCCTTTTGAGCCATCGACAGGTACCCTCTCTTGACGCCGGGAACGAACTGTTTGGGAATATTGGTACCGACGGTTTCGTCGACGAATTCCAGCACAGTGTTTTTGTTGGACGGCAAGGGTTCCAGAATGCCGATAACTCTGGCGTACTGACCTTGACCGCCTGATTGTTTTTTGTGCAGGTAGTCGAATTCGCAGGGCGCCACTAGGGTTTCTCTAAAGGCTACTTTCGGTTTACCTAATGTCACCTATAAAAAAATATTTTTTATTAAGTTATTTTATTACAAATTATTATTTTTACATGTGATTTTCTCGTGTCGATTTTTTTAAAATCGGTTCTTTTTTACTGTGAATAATCTTTACAATCTATTCTTTTTATGTATTTCCACAATTGATTTTTTTCAATAGATTATTTTTAGAATTAATATTTCTTTTAAAATCGATTATTTTTTACTATTAATATTCTTTACAGGCGATTCTTTTTATAACCCATAATTTTTTACAATAGATTATTTTTACATTTCCTAGATTCCTTTTTAAAATCTATTCATGCATTATCACAATCTATAATATTTTTTACAATCGAGTTTTTATTATCAATAACTTTTTTACAATCGTTTTTTAAATAGATTTTTTGCCATGGATAATTTTTTTACAATCGATTAATTTTTTACTATTATAGGTACTCTTTAAATCGATTTTTTTTATAATGGATTTTTCACTATCGATTCATGATCGATTCTTTTTCACACAATACTTTTTACTACAGATTATTTTTAGAGTACCTAGATTCTTCTTATAATCGAGCTTTTTAATATTGGTTTTTTTTTCAAGTGATTTTATAACTATGGATTTTTAACAATGGATTCCTTTTTAGTGTCAATACTCTTTAAAATCTATTCTTTTTGTACATTTTCACAATATATTATTTTTTACAATCGATTTTTATATCACTTTTTTTAACTACATAATTTTTACAATCAATTGCTTTTTACAATAGATTATTTTTTACAAAGGATAAATTTTTACAATCGATTCTTTTTATAATGGATTTTTCACTATTGATTCTTTTTACAATCGATTCTTTCACAATAGATATTTTTAACTGCAAATTCTTTTCACATTCGATTCTTTTTTAATATTAATTGATTCTTTTTATAATGGATTTTTCACTATCGATTATTTTTATAATCAATACTTTTTTATACTACGATTTCACAATAATAGACAGTGGGAAAAATTCAGGAATGTGTAATTGATTGCTGACAACGAAGAGATTTTCGGAGCTTACAGGGTAGGAGGAAGTATTTCCAGTGGCGGGCAATTTTAATGTATTACAGGTATATGACAAATAGGCATTTTAATTTAATATAAAAATTATTTTCAAATTTTTAAGGGTTGAAACCATGGTAGATATTTATTATATAATATTCCGTATTTAGCTATTGACCTATATGTACCACTAAAAAAATTCTATACAACATTTCCTAGATGGTATTCCACGAAACTAAGAAACTAAAAAAAAGCACATAAAAAGTACAAAATAACTAATTCATTGCAAGATTACCAAGAGTTTGCAAGACTTAGATCACTCTGTAAGAGACTGGTAAGAGAATCGCAATACAATTATATTTCTCAAAAAGAATCTTCTGTACTAAAATACTTAAAACAGTTTTGGAAGTTTGTAAATGACAAAAGAAAAACCTCAAACTTTCCTAGAGAATTAATATATAACGACATAAGTTCTAGTGGCAATGAAATAGTTCATTTGTTTGCGGATGTTCATATCGATTGTGATATTTCAAAGGTACCTGTATATGTAAATAACATAAATATATGTGATATTAAAATATCTGATATTTATACTAAACTAGCAGCCTTATATATTCATATGAGTCCTGGATCAGACGGAATTCCTCCATCTATTCTAAAACATTCTTCTATTTTAGCACAACCACTGTTCATAATTTTTAACTTTCCGATCAATCTAGAATCTGGAAGACAAGTTATATTACACAAATTTTTAAATCTGGGAACAAATCCGAAGTAAATAATTATCGATGAATCAGTATCTTGAGTACTATACCAAAATTATTTGAATATCTGGTTTACGAATCTTTAACATCTTTCCTCAACAATATACTCATAGATCGACAATTTGCCTATAGACATAAAAGTTCAACAGAATTAAATTTATTAACATATACCCACCACGTGTCAAATGCTCTTCAAAATGAATATGATGTACATTCTATTTATACTGAAAGGCGTCCCGCAGGGTTCACATCTGGGACCACTAGTTTTTAATATTTCTGTAAATTATATTAAATCCTGTTTTCATTTTGGTAATTTCTTTTTATTTGCAGATGATCTCAAACTGTACTCTATAGTATCATCTACCTTCACTGCATGTTATTGCAGTCTGATTTAGAAAACTTGGTCGATTAGTTGGACTTAAATGAATACAATAAATTTTCAAAACACAATCAGTGTCAATACTCTGGGGAAGTGTAACATTATTAGAAATCTAGCAGTCAACTTTGACTCACAACTATCGTTCGTCCCACATATTTCAAATACTGTCAACAAAGCTCTACAGATATTAGGATTTCTAAAAAGAACTACTCAGGATTTCATAAACATCAACACACTTAAAATCTTATATTGTTCTTTAGTCAGAACTCACTTTAGAATACGCTCCATGTGTTTGGTCCCCAAAATGCATCTCAAATATCTTTAAATTAGAAAGAGTTCAGCATAAGATCTTACGGTATCTTAGTTAACGATATCAACTACTCTAATTTGGAAGCAGAGTTAAATATCCAATTCATTAACAGCCGTCAAAACAAGAAAGACCTCATAATGTTTTATAACATCGTTAATTCCATAGATCCATGTCCTCAATTATTAGAATCAATAGGACTACCCATGCATCAAACACTTTTCAAATACCCTTCCACAGGACTAATTATGGACATAATACCTTCATGGTTGCTAGGTTGGCAAATACTGATGCTGATCTCGATTTCGTTGTCCCTGTCAGCCCATTTATGGAGACTCTTAAGGGTGCCGTTTAGTATAATTTTTTCTAATCTTTTTAATGAAGGTGTATTTTCTTTTACAAATATACATAATTAACTGTATTGCATTAATATTTTATTAGTTTTATTAATTAATTCGTAAATTTTTTATTAATCTGGATTATGTTCTATAATATTATATCAAACATTGTACTTACCTAACTGAAAAGGGAATTTTCCCGTTAATAACTTATAAATAAATTCTTTTTATAATGGATTTTTCACTATTGATTCTTTTTACAATCAATACTTTTACAGCAGATATTTTTTTACTGTGCAAATTCTTTTCATGTTCAACTCTTTTTTACTATTAATACTCTTTAAAATCGACTTTTTACTATCGATTCTTTTTACAATCGACTTTTAGAATACAGTCCGTTATTTTTATAATCGACTTTTTTTACAATATATTTTTACCGTTTTATTTTTTACAATCGATTTTTTCTTATTCTTTTTATAATCGATTTTTTTACCATTGCATTTTCTTTAAACATGCTTCTTTTTACAATCGTTTTTTACTGTTAATACTTCCACAATAGATTTTTTATAGTGAATTTTTCACACTTAATATTTTTTACTATTACATATTCTTTACTAATAATATTTTTACAATCTATTATTTTTTTACAAAGGATCTTTTTTACAATCTATTATTTTTTCTTTACAATCAATTATATTTTTACAATCGATTTTTTATAATGGATTTTTTTACTCGATTCTGTTTTTATAATAGATTTTTTTTACTCGTTTCTTTTTACAATCTATTCTTGTTATAATGTATTTTTTACTATCGGATTCTTTTTACAATAGCTATTTTTTAATATAGATTCATTTTATAATCGATTTTTTGGGTCAATTAAGTTATTTATTTAGTGTGCGATAAATAAGCTTACCGGACAGTTATATTCCCGTTCCATTCTCTGAGCGTAGATTTCTAAATGTAATTCACCCATACCGGACACGATCGTCTCCTTGCTGTCATCGTCAAAGAAAAAATGAAAAGTGGGATCTTCTTTCGTAAACCTGGCTACCGCTTTCGAAAAATTATCTCTATCCTTAGAGTTCGTCGGACTAATGGCCATAGAAACTACCGGATCAGGAACAAATATCGATTCTAACGACAGATCCAGCTTGGGATCGGTTACGAAAGTGTCTCCGCTGGCGCAATCTACGCCGAATAGTGCGAAAATGTCACCGGCATACACTTCGTTCACGTCTTCCATATTGTTGGAATGCAAGCGTATCAAACGGGCGACTCTTACTTTTCTTTGTGTACGCATATTGTAGATGCTGTCTCCTAAAAGAAAAACAACATTTTTTTTGAAGTTTCAAACATTTTTAAAACTTGGTGCAAAGATAGTACAGACCAAAATAAAATTATAAAATTTTGCAACTTGATCAGGGGTCAGCAACTCTGTTAAGAGCATACCGGATCTCTCGTGAAAGAAAAAATGTTTTAAGGATTTTCTAATATAAAATTGTATTTATATGCGTGCCAATGGGAATACTTTGTGATATGTGTCTTAACAATATTGAGAGCTTCAAATTTGTGCAGTGATAAGGCAGCACTCTACATAGACGTTTAAGAAAAATAGGTGGGAAATCATCCCATTAAAAACTATTAGATATTTATTAAAACAAAAAACAGTTAATTTTCATATATTTAATACAGAATGGCCCGTAAATGTTTTTTTTTTATTCCTTTTAAAAATTTTCAAAATAAGTACTTTTTGAAGGTTTACAAAAAAATTCAAGGTTTCTCCATCCTAAGTTTTGTATTATTGGTATTTCCTAAAAATTTTACAAAAATTGAACTAAAAATAAAGGCTCTGAATAAATTATACATTTTCGAGGTGTTCGGTTTGCTCTTAAATTGCGAAAAAAATTAATGGACAGTGATAGTCATGAAGTCAAAACAAAGTTGGTAACACGTATTTGTTTCTACACAAAACAAGTTACTGTGACAATAATGGGCAATTGGGAAAACGCTATTAGTGAGATCATCAGTATTATTGATTTGGAGTTTCTAGAATTTTTTTTCAGTGATTTAGTTGAAAAATGGCAAAAATTAATACTTATTAAGAATTTATGGATAATAAATGTATGATATACACATAACAATCAAACACTAATGAAAAAGTCAGATTAACAAACTTTGTTTTTGCCAATTGTCGGCCGTTTTTTACCAACTCTGACAGAACGTTGGATGTTGGATTGCCTAATACTTAGCAAATCTTTTTGGTTCTGTACATAAATGTTATGTACGTAACACGGAAATGTAATAACAAATTTTATTTTATTTTTATTTATTTTATAAAATACAAAAATAGTTACATAATTATGTTACATTATCATAAAAAAATACATTAATTTATTAATAATATATAATTAAAGTATTTGTAGTAATTTTAGTAGGTAATATATTGATGTTTTAACTTTTTTTTGTTTTTTCAAGAATTATTTGTTTTTGTTACTTTAGAATAATTTATTTTTTTGTTTGAGCCTTTGTGCCTGTTTCGCTATATGTATTTTTGTTTTGTTTGTGTAGTTTTTAAATTAATAAAAGAAATATGTTTCGGTGAGCTCAGGACTGGAGCGAGCGGAGGGGAGAATTTTGAGGAAAAAAAGGCGTGTTTTTTTTTTGACGATCTTAACGACTTTCGGCAAGAAGGTGACGAAGGCGTGATTTTTTAACGATTTTACCGACTCCTGAGTAAAAATTGGGCATAGCAAACCCAAAATTTTCTGCCTTCGGCGGTTAGCCTCAAGGGCCCCTGCGCGGGGGCTATACTTGACCTTTACCATATTGCCCATCCCCCCCCCCCCCCAGCAATGAATCCTGGGTACGCCACTGCAGATGGTTCTGATATTGCAAGTATCATTTGTAAACAGCAGTTCTGTTGGATACATTTTATTCTTATCATATTTAATTTATATAATGCATTAAAATTTCTCAATTAAAAGACAGTTTCTCTTGTGGTCCAGATGGAGTTCCATCTTACTTTTTAAAGAGGTGTATCTGTACTGTTAGTACTCCTATTTCTATTATTTGCAATATTTTACTTGATTCAGAAGTATTTCCGGATTTTTGGAAATACAGTTTTATAAGACCAATTTATAAATCAGGATGTAATCGTGACATTAAAAATTACAGAGGAATATGTTTGCAATCTAACATTCCAAAAATGTTCGATTCACTCATTTACAGAATATTTGTCATGGGAATGTAAAGGGCTAATAATTGATCAACAACATGGTTTTTCACAAGGAAAATCTACAGTAACTGCCTTGTTAAGTTATCAAAATGAAATATTGAGTGCTTTTAAAGAGGGTATCATTCTGTCTATACTGACTTCTCAAAAGCATTCGATAGAGTTAACCATGAATTGTTGATCGCCAAGTTGAGCTCATATGGTATCAATGGTAAAAATTTTAAATTGGCTATCTAGTTTTTTAATTGGAAGGTATCAGTGGGTCAAAATTGGGAATCACGGTTCTTATTTGATTGAAGTATTGTCTGGTGTTCCTCAAGGATCCCATTGTGGTCCGCTTCTTTTTAATATATTTGTAAATGACATTGCATGTTGTATACAAAAGTCTCAGTTCCTACTATTTGCAGATGATTTAAAAATCTTTAAAATTGTTGAAAGTATATCTGATTGTTTTGATTTACAGACTGATATTAACAACCTAGCATTGTGGTGTAATGTAAATTGTATGAATTTGAATTTAAGTAAATGTTTTTATATTAAGTTTAATAGGCGCCATACTATTATAGACTATACTTATTGTATCAATTCATTAGATCTTGAATTGGTGACCCAAATAAAGCACCTTGGCGTAATGTTTAATGAAAAACTTACTTTTTCAGAACACATTACAATGATATCATTAAAAGCCAGAAAGTTGTTGGGTTATATACAAAGAATCTCTAATGGTTTCTCAATAAATTCTTTTAAAATTCTTTACTGCACTCTTGTTTGTTCTAATATGGAATATGCAGCTGTTGTCTGGAACCCTTATTATTGCATTCACATTAATAGACTTTAAACGGTTCAATATACGTTTCTGAGATGCTCAGCATATAAATTAGGAGTGCGTATAAATAATTACGATTATGATTATGCTAACCTATGTTCCAGATTAGAGATCACAACTTTGCAGAACCGGAGAACTCAATTAGATCTATGCTTCCTATTCAAACTTTTGTCTGGGTCAATATATTCTCCTGACATTTTATTAAAAATTGGTCTTAAAATTAATAGTGCAACCAGAGCTAATGAAACTTTTTTTATTAGACACCATAGACAAAATTACAGCTTTTATAGTCCATCAACACGATTGGTTAGGAGTGCTAACAGTATAGAAATAGACTTGGATTTTTTTGGTTCCTCATATCCTTCATTTAAAAGAAGTATTGCTAACCACTTTCTTAATGACACTTGAAAGTACTGTTATTGTCTACCTTGTTATTCAAATGTTTTAATCATATGTTTTAATCAAATGTTTTACATGATACAATTTTTGATGTTGTTTTTTATTTTGTATTTGTGCATATAACATATATTTTTATATTTTTTATTGTAAAATGGGGTTTTCCCGTAAATAAATAAATTATCACATGAAACTCCCCAAACCAAAATTCCATGTCTTATTAATGATTCAATATATGATTTATATATTATGACTAAATTTGTTTTATTTAAAACGTATTTTAAACAATAAAAACTGTAAATTGCTTTGTGAATTTTATTAGAAATATACTTTATGTGTTCATGCCACTTCATGTACTGATCTACAATAACCCCCAAATACTTTATTTTTGAGACTTTATTAATTTTTTTCGGTTTCAAGCATAATGAAAGAGTATTGTGGGCGTGTTGATACTGTTATAAGTAATATATTTAGGTATTAGTTTGCTTTGTTTAAATAAACTTTAATTACAATATTTCAAATTTGAAGCTAAATTTTCAGCCAGTGTAGTTAATTGTTAATTAACATTTTTTGATAAAAATTTGCATATATAGAAAAAGTTGACGAAAATTAACATATTGACTGTATGAAAAAGGACAAGAAGCTATCATAGAAACAGTTACAGAATAAAAGATCATAGAAAGGGAAGAATATGCAGATAAAGTTTATGAAGATTTTAAGAATAATATAATTAATTCAATAATCAGACAGCAAAAATATAAATTTTGAAAGTACATAGAATCAATTAAATTAATATAGTATAGAAGATTTTTTAAACTTTTAAACTAATCTTAACATGAATTGTCTATTATATATATTTTATTTTTTAATGTATTTTACTTAACACTTTTTTGACTAGCCTGATTTTACATTATGTACCTAGTGTCTTTGTATAGTGTATAATTCTCAAAGATGAATAAATTCTATTTCTATTGACTTACCTTTTTGCAGCATCCCTTGATAACATCTCATATAAGTTAACTGACCAAATCGACCAGCTTCTAGCTTAAATGCCAACGAAATAAAGGGGTTATTACCATTTCTAGCTGGATCCAAATATACTTTCTGAGGCTCCTCTCCCTCCCTTTCTTTCAAAGCATAATTACTAACTTCTCCTGGATTTGGTAAATATTCCAACACTCCATCCAACAGTGGCTGTACTCCTTTATTTTTTAAAGCAGTTCCTACAAATACTGGTGTGAAGGCCCTTTTGAGACAGGATCTGCGTATCGCAGCTTTAATATCAGAATCAGTAAATGGTTTTTCTTCCAAGTACAATTCACCAAAAAGATCATCACAATTGGATAAATGTTCAATGAGCTCGTGTCTCCTTTCATCACTTTCTGTCTTCATATCTTTAGGAATTTCATCGTAACGAATTTGGTCTCCAAAATCGCCATCAAAATAAATTGATTTTTGGCCTATCAAATCAATGACACCCTTGCAATTCGATTCGACGCCTATAGGAAGCTGTACAAAAGCTGCATGATGGTTCATTTTTGACCTCAATTGTGAAAGAACTCGAACAGGATTGGCCCCTAAGCGATCTAATTTGTTAATAAAAGCTAAACATGGTACATTGTATCTCTTCATCTGGCGATTTACTGTTAAAGACTGGCTTTGGACTCCCCCAACTGCGCATAAAACCAAAATTGCCCCATCTAGAACCCTTAAAGCTCTCTCAACCTCAACAGTAAAATCAACATGACCAGGTGTATCTATAATATTTATATTATGATTCTTCCACAACGTGTACGTAGCAGCGGACTGAATAGTAATGCCCCTTTGCCTTTCCAATTCCATAGAATCCATTGTAGCTCCTACATTGTCTTTTCCCTTGACTTCATGCATCGTTTCTATTCGACCTGTATAATAAAGAATCCGTTCCGTTAGTGTTGTTTTACCGGAGTCAATGTGAGCAGAGATTCCAATGTTTCTGATTTTAGTCAAATCTATGTGGTCGGCATATTTTTCGTAATTCGACATACATTTTAAATTTTGCTAAAAAGTTAGGTTAGGTTTAGTTACATATTAAAAATAAATTAAGTAATGTACCTTTATTATAGTTGAAATGTTTTTGAATACATTTTTTTGTGTTATTCGAAACATGACTGGATTCTAAAAAATTGGTTAGAGGTTTAATAAAATCCAATATAACTTTATTAAAATCTCCGACACGCCGAGCCGGACCTGACAGGACAGATAGATATTTTTTTATTTTTCTATGCAGGACAGTGCCGTCTTCGTCCTGCCGTCCGTGCTTCGTTCTTTAAGGGATTTGACTCTAGTAAGCTCACCGGTCCGAGTTCTAAATTGTTCTTTATCGCAATCGTTTTACACAGTTGCCAACCCAGACTAGGGCTGTTACAATGGAACTGGACCTGTTACTTTGGAATAGGTATCTCCCATGGACACCATGGTAGTGGGTACATTACAAAAATATATTCTGGCAACACTGCCCACAGCTGATATCTGTCATTTTAAACGGTGACTCATTGACTGTCAATTCAATTGTCAATTTCTTTGCTCATCGCATGACAGATAACAGATACAAAAAAAATACAAATACAAATCGTGATTTCCGGGGAATTTTTATATATAAAATAAATATCGTATTTAAAAAAAAAGAGGTTCGCAAAAATGACCACTCAAATCGGTGTGAATCGATGTACGGAAGAGCAACTGTTTCATTTTAAAGATATTTGTAAAGACGATATTGCCTCCAAAAGAAGCTACGAGAGAGTTAAATGTATACAGGACTTAATAAACATTTTGATAAAACGTGATTGTGCGGCTAAAATAGATTATATTTTAAATGCTTTACACATACGCAGGGATGAGACAACGAATGAAAATGTAAGGAGAGAAGCCATTAATTTAAATGTAAGAAGACCAAATGTTATACAAACGCTTCGTTTGGAACACAACCAAATTGCAAGGCCACAAGGTATGTATAAAAGAGTTACTACTATCAAATTTATTCATTTTTCTCTTTGATAACAATTGTTTTGTTTGTAAATGTTCAGTTTTGCCAGACGTTCCTACTGATCCAATACAGCAAGTTGACGAAATAGTGGCCCGTGAAATTGGTAATAAATGGAAAGAATTGGCTCGGCAGTTGAATATAAGTGAAGGTCACATAGATGAATTTGACAACGTTTACCGTGGGAGATTGTCAGAGAGTGTAAAACAAATTTTATTATATCATCGAAAATGTTACCCAACTACTTGGAAAATAAGCCTTACCAATGCACTGATCCATGCAAGGCGCAGAGATATACTTTTTTCAATTCAAGGTATACTAAATATAATATGATTTACTAAACTAAAACCTTTAAAATGATCTTTTTACTTTTAAAATGTTGATTTTGTGATTTGTAAAATATTTTTGTGTTAAATTATTTTTAATAAAGAATTATTTTTGTGTTAAATTATTTTTAATAATATATTTCATAATACAGATGCATTACAAGAATGTATAAGGAAGGTCTTAAATTCAGATACAGAAAGGTAATAGAAAAAGTAAAAATCACAACAAAGCTTTTCTTCATCTTCAGGCATTTGATTTGTTTCAAATTTTTGTTCGCATGGATGCGAATTCTCAAAATTAATTTGCCCTGGTTTTAAAGAACCATTCCTCCATGTCACCTTTTGGTTAGTGCCATTAGGGCAGATACAGCCATGGAGGAAGGATACAAATTACAACTTGAGAATGTTTGATCCATGAGAAAAGTATGTCCAAAGATAGTACTCTTTTCTCTAAGCCATGAAAGGTAAAAGCAAGCAGATGGCGATGTTACGTTATTTAGCGAGAACCATGGGATATTTAAAATACATTTGTACATTATACAGTAGGCCACTAGTGGGATATCACTTATAGAACAAAATAAATTTAAAAAAATGCTAGGGTACGTCAATTTTTATTTTTGATGAAGCACATTTATTATAAAAATCTCCGATTTTAACCCCTGTCCATGGTAGGTACACCTTTCAATATTTTAAATAGCAACTGGGAGCGAATTCATTGCTATTTTTAGTTTAGTCTTAAAGTTCCCTGATTTTTAAATTATTTTTCGAAATTCCCACGATTTTTAAATAATTATCGATTTTATTTCAACCAGGTGTTAAATTTTATATTGCTGTAAATTCATCGCGCCCCACTACCGACCTATCGCGCACCTGAAATTGACGCAAATGAGAATATCAGGTAGACCGACGGGCAGATCGAAAATAGCGGACAGGCATTCACTTTGGATTCTTTTGCCGCGACTAGTTGATTTTAGACGAAGGTAGTTCGGACTCCAATCCTGTTTCAATTCCGATATAATTTAAAATCTTTTCCCGTTTTACACTATTCATATAGGTAGTTAGATTGTTTCCATAGGTTCATTCAGCCGTCTGCCCTGAAAACCTGAAATCAGATCCTTTTCTGAATTGTTTATATTTTCTTTTTATTTAAAACCTTATCAGTATTTCCGAAGCAAATCCGAATTTCGTCTGCTAATTTTACATTAGTATTGAGACAGTGGCGTGCGGTGACATTTTTGGAAGGGGAAGCGATTGTATAAAAATACAGCAGGCCAGTAAGCACAGCGAAAATTTTTCGCGGCGCATTCACCATTTTGTCAAAATCTTGCTTTTTTTTTCTCAGTACTACGGATATTACCTAGTTTAGTACTAGAAGCTATAAAAAAACTTACCATTGAAAAGCTTCCTTGGTTTATTTAAACGTAAAAAAATCATTTAATTGAAGTTTTTTTATTTTTTCCAGCGCTGTTTTTCGATGGATATTAGGGCTAAAATTAGAGAGACTGTCTTCACTTGTTGAATTTCGTGTAAAACGTTTCTTTAAAGCTGAAAAACTTCGCTCAACTGACGCACTTGTCACTAGTACTAAATTCACACAACTTGACGACTTCACAAAGAGACTTATTTAAACCAGTTGTTATAAGAAAATTTAACACATTGATGGGCGTCTTTTTATCACTAATTTCAGTTGTTTCATAAACAACACTTAACTGGGACTTTAATTCTAGAATATAGAAAAAATTTCCATAATTTAATTTTAGTGAATTAAAAGCTTTCGATGGAAATTTTGATGAATCGTAGTTACTAATATTAAAATTACACAATACAACAAATTTTAATTCGTTAAAGTTTTGAAATCGAGAGTTCATTTGTTGTAAAATATCAAAAATTTCGGCGTATAATCAACGATAGGAGGTCTCTCTGTCGCCGACATTATCAATTTTAATTCTCTTTCTTTCAGGTTCTAAGCCAATATTTTGAGTCTTATTCCAAAAGTGATCTTGTTTTTTATTAATTTTATTTTTAAAATCATCAATTTGTTTAATGCAAAAGCCAATGTCATTTGACTTTGTCTGTAAAATGTCGAATAAAATGTCAGTAAAAGGGAAAATCTCTGCAAAAATGTTGAGCAAAAAATTGAAATCAAAGTTTTGTTTCAGCCAATGCAAATATCCTTTAGCGGCAGTAACAGTTTCAGCATCCCATGTTTCTTTATTATCTCTTGAAAAAAGTGTATCAAAGAATCACGGTATTGAAACACTAAACGTCCATTGTAGTTCTATCGCGTCGGAGAAACTTTTGGAAACCTTTTTTGAACGTGAATGTCCAAAGCGCGAGTTCTTTTCGATGACTTTGAAAAGAAGGAAGCCTAACTACTAAGCGTCGAAAAGAAAACTTTGCAATCTTTAATATTATCCATGCTTCGCCATAAAACCAAATTAAGTCTATGTGCTATACAGTGAACGAAAATTGCATGTTTAAACTTCTCTTTCACTTTAGCTTGAAGGCCTCCTAAATGGCCAGCCATTACGGCAGCACCATCGTAGCTCTGGGCAACAAGCTTAGAATCACATTCTAAACTTGAAATAATGTCACAAACAATTTTAAACAATGCATCTGCAGTTCGTTCGCTAGTGCGTCCAAAAATCCTAAGAATCGCTCTTGAGGAATGCCATCCAATACATATCGCACAACAATTGATAATTGACTTAAGTTTGCTACATATGTGGTTTCATCAAGCGCAATTGATACGAAAGAGGCTTTTTTAATTTCACTTTTAATGTGATCCATCACAACGTCGGCAGTGCATTTAATTAATTCATTTTGGATTCTGTTTGAGGTACCTCGGAAAGTCGTCAAATCAATAAAATTATTTTTAGAGTATCATCGTATTTTACTAAAAAACTTAGAAGGTCCATGTAATTTTCTCCATTGGTGGATCCACTTGCTTCATTGTGACCCCTAAAACTTAGTTCATGCTCTCCCAGGAAACAAGTTACATCTATTACTCGTTGTAAGACGTCCCTATTTTTTTTACCCTTTTATTGTGAATTTTGTTGCTTATTGCGCAAAATCAAATTAATCAAGACTTAAAATCAGTTGTTACATATTCTAATGATCATCTCCTTACTATCAATAGAAAAAAATCATGCGCAATAGTCTTTGGCAATGAGCAACAGAAAGCGAAAGCTATAATTCATTTCAAAATTAAATTAGATGAAAATACGTTACAATTTAGTGACAACTGCAAAAATTTAGGTGTAGTTTTCGATTCCAAATTGAGGTTTAAAAAACATGTAAGTGAGAAAATAAAAAGAGCATACTCTTCCCTAAAAATGATATATCAACATAGACATAGTTTACCTTATTCTATTAAAATATCACTATGTGACTCTCTAGTTCTTTCGCACTTTAACCATGCGGATGTAGTCTTCTCACCATGCATTGACAGCAATGATTTGGGTCGAATACAAAAAGTACAAAATTCCTGTATGCGTATGATCTTCGGTATCAAGAGGCCGCAATCTATATCTTACAAATTAAAGGAAATAGGATGGTTAAGCATGTATAATCGAAGGATTCTGCACTCACTCTGTCTATTTCATAAAATTTTAAAATTTAAAACCCCATCATATCTTTATGAGAAAATCACCTATAGAACAGATGTTCACAATCTTCAACTTAGAACTAAAAATACACTTAATATACCTAAACACTATAAGGAAATGTACAAAAGATCGTTCTCGTATCAAATATCTCACTTCGGCCACCTATTTGGTGAAACTGATGTTGCCCTCTCTATTAAATCATTTAAAAAGAAACATAAAAAAAGATTATTTAATAAACAACACTAAAAAATGTTCATCTTACTGGTTTAACTTTTGCTGTATCCCTTTCTGGCGAAAATGTTATACGTTTTTATTTTTTGTTCTTTATTGATTGTTATTATAATTTTCTGCAAATATTTTTAAAATATAATTTTTTTTTTTATATTAAAAAATCTTTGCAATATAATTACCCTTTCAGTTGTATATAAATATAATGCACTAGGTAGGTACTTAATGTCTAGTATTTGTCACATTTATTTATTTATTTATTATATTTATTTTTTCTCTTCCTCTTTAATTACATTAGGACATGGGTATAGGAATATAATTATATTTAATTTTGAATTTGTAGGTTATAGTGGAAGAATTGGTCTGCAGACCTAACTATAACCTTTTATTTATCATCATTAATTGTTATAAAATTTTGTATTCCACATTTGTTTTACATGATAAATAATAAACTATTATTATTATTATTATTTTTAAATGATTGTCCAAACTATGTTCAATACGATAGGTCCTGAATGTTTTTTGCTATTTTGCTATTTACATGTCGTTTTACAAATTATTCAAGTCTAATACCGACTAAGTTCTAATGTGTTTTTTCGGCTATACTAAAAAGTAGGCAAGGCAAGCAAAACAATTTCTTCAAAGTTTTGCAGCCGGTTAACCATTCATACTTTTCATAGAACCCTACGTGAAAATGCCTGGTACATTTCTTTGCCGACTTTTCTACTTTCGTCTCTAAATTGATAGGATCCTTTAGTCTACTAGAATTAATGTCCGTTTTCTCTTCAAAATTTCTACTTGAAAATCCATTTTTTAATAAAGAGTACACAATACAGACACAATTTACCACATTATTATTGCTCGCAGGCCCAGTGCATAGTTCCTCCATTTTACAAAAAGAAAAACAACTACGAAAAACAAACTGAAGTCTACGATTTTCCTCACACATCGATTCGCGGTGCGAATTGCAATATGCGTAAGGCGACGTAAAAATCGCTGCCTCTCGACCGTATTTTACGTGTGCAAACAGACTGACTACTGTCGCGGCAAGCGAAATCAATTATTGGAAGATGTGCGGGCTTTTAAGGCGCGCTTCCGCCGATGGACTCGAAGTATATGGTGTGCGTTTATACAATTAATTTTCTCATGGGTGGTGCGTGCGTTTACACATTACACCAATGACTTGTTAGTACATTTACGAAGTTTATGTAATGTTTCAGAGAAAATATAGTACCTAATTTAATA